AAATCAATGTGCAAAAATTACAAGCATTCCTATATACCAATAATAGACAAACAGCCAAATCATGAGTGATTCATCCCATTCACAACTGCTACAAAGAGAATAAAATACCTAGGAATACAACTAACAAGGGATGTGAAGGAACTTTTCAAGGAGAACTACGAACCACTGCTCAAGGAAATAACAGAGGACACAAACACATGAAAAAACATGCCATGCTCATGTATAGGAAGAATGAATATCATGAAAATGGCCATACTACCCAAAGTAATTTGTACATTCAATGCTATTTCCATCAAGCTGCCATTGACTTTTTTCACAGAATTGAAAAAAAAACAAACTTCATATGGAACCAAAAAAGAGCCCACATAGCCAAGCAATCCTAAGAAGAAGAAGAAGAAAAAAAAAAAAGGTGAAGGCATCATCCTACCTGATTTCAAACTATATTACAAGGCTATAATAAACAAAGTCAAAACAGCATGGTACTCGTACCAAAACAGGGATATAAACCAAAGAAACAGACCAGAGGCCTCAGAAATAATACCACACATCTACAACCATCTGATCTTTGACAAATCTTACAAAAACAAATATAGGGAAAGGATTCCTTAATAAATGGTGCTGGGAAAACTGGCTAGCCATATGCAGAAAGCTGAAACTGGATCCCTTCCTTACACCTTATACAAAAATTAACTCATGATGGATTAAAGATTTAAACATAAGACGTAACACCATAAAAACCCTAGAAAAAACCTAGGCACCACCATTCAGGACATAGGCATAGGCAAGGATTTCATGACTAAAACACCAAAGGAAATGGCAACAAAAGCCAAAATAGACAAATGGGCTCTAATTAAACTAAAGAGCTTCTGCACAGCAAAAGAAACTATCATTAGAGTGAACTGCCAACCAACAGAATGGGAAAAATTTTTTGCAATCTACCCATCTGACAAAGGGCTAATATTCAGAGTCTACAAAAAAACTTAAATTTATAAGAAAAACACAACCCCATCAAAAAGTGGATAAAGGATATGAACAGACATTTCTCAAAAGAAGACATTTATGCAGCCAACACACATGAAAAAATGCTCATCATCACTGGTCATTAGAGAAATGCAAATCAAAACTACATTGAAATACCATCTCATGCCAGTTAGAATGGCAATCATTAAAAAATCTAGAGACAACAGATGCTGGAGAGGATGTGGAGAAATAGGAACACTTTTACATTGTTGGTGGAAGTGCAAATTAGTTCAACAATTGTAGAAGACAGAATGGCAATTCCTCAAGTATCTAGATCTAGAAATACCATTTGACCCAGCAATCCCATTACTGGGTGTATATCCAAAGATTTATAAATCATTCTATTATAAGGACACATGCACAAATATGTTTATTGTGGCACTGTTCACAATAGCAAAGACTTGGAACCAACCCACATGCCCATCAGTGATAGACTGGATAAAGAAAATGTGGCACATATACACCATGGAATACTATGAAGCCATAAAAAAAGGATGAGTTCATGTCCTTTGCAGGGACATGAATGAAGCTAAAAACCATCATTTTCAGCCAACTGACACAAGAACAGAAAACCAAGCACTGCATATTCTCACTCATAAGTGGGTGTTGAACAATGAGAACACATGGACACAGGGAGGGGAACATCACACACTGAAGTCTGTTGGGGGCAGGGGACTAGGGGAAGGATAGAAAGGGTTGAGGGGCTTAGAGGAGGTATAGCATTAGGAGAAATACCTAATGTAGATGTGCAGCAAACCACTGTGGCACTTGTCTACCTATGTAGCAAACACGTACATTCTGCACACGTACAAAGGAAGGAGGGAGGAAGGGAAGGAGGGAAGGAAGGAAAGGAAGGAATGTCAACATCACCAATTAACAGGGAATTGCAATTCAAAACTGCAATGCATTACTACCTTCTGCAAGAATGGCCATAATCAAAAAATCCAAAACAGTAGATGGTGGCATGTATGCCGTGAACAGGGGACACTTCTACACTCCTGGTAGGAATGTAAACTAGTACAATTACTATGGAAAACAGTGTAAAGATTCCTTTAAAAACTAAAAGTAGAACTACCATTTGATCCAGCAATCCTACTATTAGGTATCAACCCAGAGGAAAATAAGTCATTTTATGATAAAGATTCTTGCACAGCAGCACAATTCACAATTGCAAAATCATGGAACCAACCCAAATGTCCAGCAATCAACAAGTGGATAAAGAAACTGTGGCATATTTATACAATGAAATACTAGTCAGACATAAAAGGGAATGAATTAACAGCATTTGCAGCAACTTGAATGAGATTGGAGACTATTATTCTAAGAGAAGGAACTCCAGAATGGAAAACCAAACATCTTATGTTTACACTAGTAAGTGGGAGCTAATTATAAGAATGGTACAGTGGTCTTTGGGGACTCGGGGTGGGAAGTTTGGGAGAGGGGTGAGGAATAAAGGACTGCAAATATGGTGCAGTGTACACTGCTTGTGTGATGGGTGCACCAAAATCTCACAAATCACCACTAAAGAATTTACTCATGTAATCAAATACCACCTGTACCCCTATAATTTATGAAAAAAAAAAAAGAAATGGGTATAAAGCACCAGGAAAAAAAAATAAATTTATTTATAAAAAATAAAACCTTTGAGAGAAAAAAAGTCATAAATTTGAATAATGGTACTTATGAGTAGACTGCCTTGTGCCTAGTATGCTTATATATGTCCATTGGTTCACTTCTATCCATCCTCTCACTGAACAAGGTAGGAGAGAGATACATACATAATTTTTTTTTTTTTTTTTTTGAGACAGGGTCTCACTCTGTTGCCTATGCTGGAGTGAAGTGGTGCAATCTTGGCTCATTGTAGCCTCAACCTCCTGGGCACAAGTGATCCTCTTACCTTAGCCCCTAGGTGGCTAGGACAACAGGCATGCTACCGCTGCCAGCTAATTTCTATATTTTTTGTAGAGATGAAGTTTCACCATGTTGTCCAGGCTGGTCTTGAACTCCTGAGCTCAAGTGAGTCACCCACCTTGGCATACATACTTCTGGATAATTTTATTTAAAATAATTTTCTTGAGGGATTGAAAAAATTTAGCTAGAAATTCAAATATCTATTCAGCAAAATCATTTGGGTTGCTTTTATACCACTTTACTTTTAAGACATAAGCAATGTCTTATGTGTGCCATGCTAATTTTCCCACTTTGAATATTTGCTGAGTTATACATTTTTTTTTGTAAAGTTTTTCTTAGGGTTCTAATACTCAGAGCCAAACTTTTGATAAGTTTAATATCAAGATTACTTAGGGTCTGCCTTTTAAAACAGAAGCATGCCAAAAAAAAAAAAAAAAAAAAGAAAGAAAAAAAGGATTCCATCCTAGAATGTCCAGGAGAACAGTAAAGGCTGCAGAGAAACTACATGAAATGAGGCGTGAAGAGAAGCTATTTCAGGCCTTTTGACTTGAGGGCAGATCATATGCATTCAAACTAAAAGATTTTTTTCAGGTGTAGAGATTTTTAACAATAGAAGCTGATGATCAATGTAGGGGGAAAAAGCATGCTTTATCACCTTTTTTGGACCAGACCAATTAGACCTTTCATTTTTCATGTAGTCTTTAAATAAATGCATATATTCCATTTTTCTCTTCCACATCCCCTAACAATTATTTTGATTTCCATGATTTGAGTTGCTTTCTGAAAAGCTTTTATGAAGAGTTGAAAAGAACTGGGAACCATACTGTTCAATGAGTGATAGAAATATTCATAGGCCATGTACAACATAATAAAAGGAAATTGATCTGTTCACTTAAAAAATCTAACCCCATTCCTTTTTTCTGGTCATTAAGCATCAGAATTGTGGCTGTCTATATTTGAGGGCTTTTGGTCCCTCATCAAATAGAGCATGCTTTCTCTAGGCAAGGCATGGCATCTTCCACCACTTTTTGATACAATATCATCTATAATATTGAAAGTGCAAAAGTCCATTCATAATACACTTTAATATATCAGTTAAAGGAGTATTTGATAGATCAGATACAAACAACATTGCTTATTCTTAGTTTGAAATGCCTAAAAATAGAACATGTACACTCATGTCAACAATATTATTATTTGAGACAAAGTCTTGCTCTGTTGTTCAGGCAAAAGAGCACCATCTGTTGCACCATCTTGGCTCACTGCAACCTCACCCTCCCAGGTTCAAGCAATTCTCTTGCCTCAGCCTCCCAAGTAGCTGGGATTACAGGCATGTGCCACCACGCCTGGCTATTTTTTATATTTTTAATAGAGACTGGGTTTCACCATGTTGGCCAGGCTGGTCTTGAAATCCGCCCACCTCAGCTTACCAAAGCACTAGGATTACAGGCATGAGCCACTGCACCTGGCCAACAAGATATTAATCTTAATATCTTGTGCATTGTGAGTAAGGAGGGTACCATCAGAGTAGGCAAGCATTCGGCTTATCTAAATTTGCCTCAGGGTTCCTCAGCTTTGGGTGCAGAGAAGCAGTCAATGTGAGTGACCTGGAGAAATTAAAGTGAAATAAGAGCTAAGGAGAAAAGATAGATATTGACTGTGAAGACAGATTTAGGGAAGTGGGTGAAGAAACGGTGAATAGAGTAGATTGAAAAGAAATGGAGTACAGCAATGGGTAGACAGGCTTGGAATGGTGAAGCTATGGCTCAGAGGAATTTTTAAGACCAATCTGAGTATATTTTTACATGAGGAGAATATGGATAATCACTGTGTACCTTGTTCAGCCTTTATGGAAGATACAGGATTTCATATACATTCATTAGGTACATTTCTGGGGTCACAATACAACTTAGGGAACATTTTAGTTAAGTCTCCATAAGACATAGATAGCAATGTTGCATGCAATGATATGTCATGATTTTGAATATGAGGTTAAATGACTGAAAATACTATCTCAGAAGTTCTTATTAATTTGAATTAAATAATACTTAAAATATTTATATACTCACCCAACGGACAGGAAAGGTTCCTTTGATTCAAGTCTATGAAAAAATATGAAAATATTCTTTTAATATAACTATTTGCTGTATATTAAAAATTGCTTTTACATGAACCTGGCAGAATTATTATACTTGTTTGGATGAAAATACATAATTAACACCAGTAAAAAGCTATGAATAATATATCAAGACCTAATCTGGACTAAGTCAATTTGCACCTGGATTAATGCAGAAGCTAAATAAAATGAGAGTCTTGAAATGAGGGCATAGCATTTAAGTGCTTGGTTAAGATGATTATATTATTAGTCTAATTCTGATTTGTGCTCTCTGTATCTACTCATTTTCTTTATTCCTCGTAATTTTTAGAAGTTTTTATACATCTATTTGTGGTTGTTGTAATAGTAAAATAATTTGTAATGTACTTGTTATGTGTTGGCTGAATAACTGATTTATTCAGAACACAGAAGCAGCATACAATATATAGTTATTTATTGGTCTTAACACCCCTTGGGGTGGGGACTGTGTCAGGTCACAGATTTGGGTCGTTCTGCCTCCTTTGTGTCTTCTAAAAACTGGGTATTTTCTGTACCTCAGTATCTCAAACGGAAAGTCTAATCCTAAGGGTTGTAGTTCACTTGAGAAAGCCACTTTAAAACATACTCTGTGCCTTCTTTTTCTCAGTATAAAACGGGCTAGGCTTACTTCCAGCTACTTTGCTGATTTCATAAATTAGCTTTCCATTTTTTATAAAATGTAAGTGGATCAGGAAAGAATCCACTTGTAAATAGTTCCTAGTTAATAATTAAGGAAATCTGTCGGTAAGTGTATTTTGGCCACATTAGTGTCGTTGTAGGTGTCTTAAGATACAATTAAGAGTTAAATGTAGGCAAATTGAAGATACTTTCAACTAAATCCTGGTGTTTAAGATTTTTAAAAAGCACGATTGAAATGACTATCTTAGTATTAGGCTAAAAATTTGTTTTTATAAATATGAGTCTAAACAGTGAAGGCAATAATTACTATTTTGTCTCTATTTCATTCTGTGTATGTAAAAAAATTGCTTATGAGAAATATGCCTTGGTGCATTTATAGGCAGAGCTGACATGCATCTCTGCCGCATATCATGCTGCTTTGAGTGAATAATAATCATAGCAGGAAAGGGGCTTTTTTAGGGAGCAAATGCCTTAGCAATTCCTTTGGACAGCTCCAGGTAGGGTAGAAGCAGATAAAACCAATAGTTGGTGCTAAGAGTTTAGAGAGGTTTATTTATGTCACCTTTTCTTTTCTGAATTCTGGTATTATTCACATCTCTAACTGTAGGTACATTAATTGACCTGTTGTGTTTGTTTTTCTCATATATTTGTGATCTACATAAGCAAACAGAACTAGGGAGGGAAAACCTGAAGATAAATAATGAAAAATGTTTGGATATATTTGCTTTATAAGACATGACCAGTGCCAAGTGATCAAAAGGAAATTTCTTTGAAGAAACGAGGGGGATTCTATATAATATGATGCAGGAGATTGTTCACATATTAGACCATCAGCACCATAATGATACTACTTTATTTTCCATCTGATAATACTTGTAATAAAAAGAGCATGTGGGCATTAATGGGATCCCTTCTCTCTGTATTTGCCAATAATTTCAGCCTAACATTTATCAGATAGATGTTAGTGTATGTGTGTGATTTGCTTGTGTGAAGTGCTACCCTCCAGCCTCCTATGTTCCCCATTTTCTACACGCTACATTATCCTCCTTGTCTCTCACTGCTGTGTGAATACTATAATGGGAATATTTTAAAACATTTTATATCTTTCTCTTCTCTCTTGTTCAGCCTCCATGTCTCATTAGTTAGCAAGTCCCATCAATTTTTCCTTTGGGACTCTCCTGTCCCCCTCTCTGCGTTCAATTCCCAGGCTGCTTTTCACTAGTTACCCCAGCCTAGCTAGTGTCTCCAAAATTCTTTGTTCAAAGCCACTTCAGCTTTACACACTGCTTTCACACTAAGCTTCGATCAATGCTGCCACTCACTCCCTTTGGGAAAATACTGCATTGCACCACTTTAGGGTGGCATGAGCAACTTGAATAAAAGCAAAGCCCATCACTTTTGATTTTTCCCTCTGAAGTTATCAAAATGCTTAGTTCAGAATGTGCTTGAAGTAGTAGTTATTGATTTCTCTCTCTCTCTCTTTTTTGAAGGTTTCAGACAAGCAGCCGTTGGATTAGAGCATACAGGGACATATGTTGTCCGACTGCCCCCTGTGGTTAATATGATTAGTCTGAGGCCGGGCGCGGTGGCTCAAGCCTGTAATCCCAGCACTTTGGGAGGCCGAGGCGGGTGGATCACGAGGTCAACAGATCGAGACCATCCTGGTCAACATGGTGAAACCCCATCTCTACTAAAAATACAAAAAATTAGCTGGGCATGGTGGTGCGTGCCTGTAATCCCAGCTACTCAGGAAGCTGAGGCAGGAGAATTGCCTGAACCCAGGAGGCGGAGGTTGCGGTGAGCCGAGATCGCGCCATTGCACTCCAACCTGGGTAACAAGAGCGAAACTCCGTCTCAAAAAAAAAAAAAAAAAAAAAAAAAAAAAATATGATTAGTCTGACTTGTTAGTTATTAATAGTTGTCCCCTTCTCCTACCACTTCAAGCCCACTGCAACCAGCTCCCTCCAAATGCTCAAGAGAAGACTTCAGAAGAAAATTCAAAGTTTTCAAAATAATGTTGGATTGAAAGTTCTGACTGATGTTCTATAAACCAGGAGTTTGCAAACTCTGGGCAAATCCTGCTCACCCTCTGATTGTGTATAGCCCCAAGCTAAGGATGGTTTTTACATTTTAAAGAAGCTGGAAAATAAAAGAATAGTAGTATTTGTGACACATGAAATTTAAACTTCAGTGTCCATAAATAAACCTTACTGAAACAGAGCCCTGTGACTTCATTTACATATTGTTTAAGGCTGCTTTTGTGCTATGGCAACAAGTTGAGCAGTTGTGCCAGAAACTGCATGTCTAAAATCCTAAAATATTTACTACATGGCCTTTACAGAAAAAGTATGCCAATGTGTGAGATACAATTATTTTGTTGGAAGGAATTGGAAACAACCTTCTAAAATGGCTTCCTTTACTTTCAATACATATCAAGATATTTTTTCCCAGATTTAGAAATTCAGAATAACTTGAATTTTTTCTCTACGTCATCATTTCAACCACTGATCCTACTGACATATTCACCTAAAATATTGCTTTTATGTCACCAGTTTTCTTGATGATCTCATTAACCATAAGATGGTACCCAAACTTTTAAGCTCTTCACAAACATGCCCAAACCAGTTTTCCATTACTGCTTCTCTAACTAACACTTCATTCCAGAAAAACTAAATATTGTCCAGACACATCTGATTTGGCTTTGCTTTGGTACACTTAGCATTCATTATATTTCTGCACTAGAATGCTGTTTCCCCCCATGCATGATCTATTTATCATTTAAATTTACTCCCTTCTTAAAGTAACTCCCTTCTTAAAGTCGATCCTGATACCTTCATTTTACAGCCCATCTCTGAGGTACTACTTATCATCATCACTATGACATATTCTCTGAACAGTATTATTCAATTAACTGGTACTGTTTACAATAGCAAAGACCTGAAACCAACCCAAATGCCTATCAATGATAGACTGGACAAAGAAAATGTGGCACATATACACCACTATGGAATACTATGCAGCCATAAAAAACGATGGTTGCTGTCCTTTGCAGGGACATGGATGCATCTGGAAACCATCATTCTCAGCAAAGTGACACAAGAACAGAAAACCAAACATCACATATTCTCACTCATAGGCAGGTGTTGAACAATGAAAACACATGGGCACAGGGAGGGGAACATCACCTACTGGGGTCTGTTGAGGGGTGGGGGAGTAGGGGAAGGACAGCTAGGGGCAGGGAGGTTGGGGAGGGATAACACTGGGAGAAATGCCTGATGTAGGTGACCGGGGGATGGAGACAGCAAACCACCATGGCATGTGTGTACCTATGCACCATTCCTGCAAGATCTACACATGTACCTCAGAACTTAAAGTATAATAAAAAATAATTTTTATATTCATTATCTGAATATTTTGGATCTATTGCGTTAAGAAAATATATCAAAATTAATTAAACAAAACTGAACTTAGAGTCTCATAAGAGTGGTAAGAATATTAAACCTGTACTCTGCTTAGACAAGAGACTTCCAACAGTTCTGTGTTAAGCCTTCTGATGGGCCCAGAGGGGAGAGTGTTGCTGATGGTTCATAAACTGAGCTGAAAGAAAAGATTATTGGTCCAAGCCATAGATGATAAGTCTAAGGTACCGGGACTCCCAAGTATCTTCTGTGGTGAAATAGAGCAGGAAATCTTGGTGATGTGCCACCATCAGGCCATCCTACCCTGTGTCTCACTGCAGAGCAGAGAGATAAGTGACTCGTGTTGAATGATGTTCTACTTTGAAACCAACTGCTCAGTTGTGGTTCATTACATTGAGGCAGATTCCCTAGACTTGGAATGATTCAGGGACTCTGAATAACCTCATTTATCTCAATTATATAGTAAACATCATACCCGACTCAATAAGTTTGGGGGAAGATTATGAGATTTTGTATTCAAAACATCTAGGACAGTTCTTGGCAGAGTGGATCCTGATGGTCATGACTATACCAAAGAGAGGTTGTTATCTCTGAAGTCTGAAACTGCTTGGATGTATGAATAGATCAGTTTAGTAGTGTTGGCCCTGTAAGCTGGAAAAACAAGCAAAAGAAGAAAACTCCTAGGAGAAATATTCCTTTGTAGAAAATTATTTATCAATTTAATCAATAGAAACATGATTATATTGTGATATGCCTACAGAGAACTTTCTAAGATTTTTTTTTACAAGGTAATTGTTTCATGAAGAAAGGAATTGATTTTATCTTTCCTAAGATTTTATGTGAAATAGGTAGTGAATTTAATAATACTTCATTCAAGACCCACTAGAATTAGGAGTAGAATAAGATAAAC